TTTTTTTTTATAATTTATGAGACATCTTGTGGGGCTCACATCACAGTATTTTAATGATCTGAACATTAGGCAATTCGTAAAATATTAAGATATATAATTAGGCAATTCGTAGAACATTTTTGAAAAAACAAACATCAGGCAATTCGTAAAATATTAAGATATATAATTATGATTACATAAATAGATGAACACGATGCTTTTTTTTAAAAAAAAAGTCTAAAATAACTATCATTTATGTTGTCCAACTTTGCTGAGTATTTTTTAGAAATGATCTATAAATGAATACTTGGAGTGTATATATTGAACACTTGCCGAGGTCAACTTTGGGAGTTCCTTCCATGCAAACTACTAATTAAAGACTAGAGACCGGACTTTTTTAACCCATGTATAGGGTGGCCTCGCTAGATGCATATACATCACACACTTGATCTGAACTGAAAACTCAAACATAAATTATTGACTTAATTTAAGAACTTATTGAATTTTCAGCGTTAAATCAAAATATGGATGGCTGTTGAGAATGTATAGGATCCATCTCAACGATCATACACTATCTAACATTTAGGATCCATCCATCTCAACGATCATACCTTACATGGGGTTAGCAAAAAAAAAAAGAAAAAGTGACACTCAAGCGATCACCTTTAAAAACTATGGAATCCACCGGCCAATAATTGAGAGAAACTCTGGTTTTTTATTTATTAATAGGAATAATAAGATGAAATTTTGTTTAAATAGTTCTACCAAACTAAGATTTAAGAAAGAACCCAAAAGGAAAATTATGAAAATACCCATAAAACTTTAAAATTGTTTTAACCTACTAAAAGATATTAAAACGCCCAAATTGCCCTTATGTCGTGGTAAAGCGACCAGTAGTGTTCGTCTCGTCGTCTTTTTTTTTTCTTTTCGGAAAGGTATTATGAGCCCCATTCAGACATATCAAACACTCCAGAATTTCGTACTATGTCAAAAAGATGTATATACTTTGCATAGTACAATTTGCCTCTTAAAGTCAACCTAATTAAGAAAGAGTGATTTTGACAAGAGTAATAGGCTACTAATTTTCTAAACCGATTACGAAATTTACAATAATTAAACACCCACTGGTGTACTTGGATTCCTCCTGGATTATTTTTCTTATATACAACTTCAACTAAGCCAATCAAATGAGCTATCCATTGTTTAAAGTTTTCCATGATGATTATGCATGAAGAGTGCGGTTCTGGTATATGCCTTTATTAATCAAGTTGCTTGAGTTTGCCTTTTTAAAAAAAAAAATAGAAAACAAAAAAAAAATTCAAGCAAGTTGCTTAAGTTTACTAATTTATAACTGACATAATAGAGTAATATCTTGCAAGCAATTATGTCTACATATAAAAAAAGTCCTATTTTTTCGTACCACAGTCATAGTTGAAAAGTTTTATATACATTATCGGCTATTATTCCATGACCCAAGTACTAATAAAAAAATTTGGGACAAGTATTTTAGATAATTAATAAGCTCCAACGAATATTCAATGATTGATAAAACAAGATTAGTTATTGTATACAATCATTATGATCATCTTAATTTCCAGTTTATCAGATTGTTTTATTATTGTCCGATTAATTAGTTGGTACCAATGTCTAAAATATCGGTGGTATCGGAAATATCGGAAGTCAAAAAACACGGAAATATCGAAGGAAATATCGGAATATTATCGGTATCGGTAAAAATTGAATAAAAATCAAGGAAATTGTAAGAAAAACTTGGAAATTTTTATTGAAACTTTGCAGGATGTTTATTTAGTCAATTATCTATTAGTTTATCACAAAAAATTGGAAGGAAATGCATTGCATGATGGATTTAACTGATTTAAGTTGATTATATAGCGAGCTGGCAAACACTGTAAGTGTAGAAAATATGTAGTAATTAATGAAAGAAGATTAAACACACCATAATCATTTATATATAATGAATTACTACAATATTTTACACTTTATACATTGCATGGTAAGATACATGAGTGACTTAGTACCACATAGAGTTCCTATGAGGTTCAAAATTTTCACTATCTTCATCATCTCTATGTGTAGAGTAAGTATATTTTGAAGAGTAGTCATCAAATGATAAATCCCCAAAATAGTTTTGCATGTAAATTGTTAACATGCCACCCATATGGATCCGAGATTGGTTGACGTTGTCCATAAGCAAAATCATTTGAAGATTGAGTCTCGGATTCTTTTCATGAGTCACTTGATTCCATCCCAACAATAATGGGATATGAAGGGTAGGGAAATGGTTGGTTATAAGTATAACCATAATTACTACTTCCTACTCCAACAGAGTTCGAAGTTATAAATAACGAGTCATTTTCTTGACTTGACAAAGTCCCCTTGCCTCTTTCTCTACGAGTCATCTTCTTGACTTCCACAAAAACATAAGTGATATGGTGGTTAAGGTGTTGAAGGAGTAAAATGAGAGGGGTTCGAATCCCTCTATGCGCAATAGGGGAGGCTTTTCAAAAAATTTCATGTATTTTTTGGATTTCGTATCGGGATATTATCGATAATATCTCGATATATTGCCCAAATCATTCATAAAAATGTTGAAGTTATCTCCCCGATATTATCGGGATAATATTGGGATAATATCGATATTATGACGATAACACCATGATTAGTTGCTAAAATATTGGCCTCCCAAAAATCAGATATTATCGGGATAATATCGGGGATAATATTGATATTTAAGACCTTGATGCCACCCTACATGCAACTTTGATGCTTGGTTCACCAGTCGTATATATCAACAGTTTTCTATGTCCTATCAATTGGGTACACTTAGACCAATCTGCACACGTAAATTCTATATTTTTAATACAATTTGAACTTTGGAACTTTGAATAACAACAAAACCATCTATGCTAAACTTACGTAAATTCTATATATTTAATACAATTTGAACTTTGAATGCAGGGCATGTAGAAATAACTCAATATTGTTTTAAATTTTCTCCAACGTTGATGTGGAAAAAGCCAAGTCATCCAACGGAATTTGTCGTGGAATTTTCATCCTTTTTTTTTTCTTTTTATATATATTTCCAGAAGACTTTTGCATCAATCATTAATTATTTTAATTTCAAAATCTGCATGCAAACACGTCCAAAAATAAGGAAAAAGCTATTTTGACTGAAACACGTAATCACCCAAATAAAGGTTTTCAAAAATATAATAATCTATACATAAAATTCCACATCCTTCCCCTTACAGCATTCCAATCGCCCAGTCAATGGCACAGAAGCTGGATGTTATTGACTTTGAATTGAAGCCGCAGGTAAAAACCACGGTTCTTAATTCACAGCTGTCAAAAAAGAATTATTCAAAAAAGATAAGTCAAGATTAGCAAAAGGAACATTTTGTACTCTTATTTTTAAACTCTGTGTAATTTTCATTACGTATTTTTAATTAATTATTTTTACATATATGTCAAACTGTAATTTGAAAGAAAAAAATATCGCTTTCTAAAAAATACAGCAAACAATATCATTAGTAAAAAAATCATATTCAACTTGTGTATAAGAGCCATGTGACTATATGACTCACTTTATCTACCAAACAGAAGGCAAATAGCTATCAATGTTTCCCATTATGGACAGGGATAGGAATCATAGGCTTAGCTTCGGGTCCCAGGTCGAAGAAAGATAAGCTTCAGTCCAAAAGAAGATGAAAGCGAGCTGGCTAAGTAGTCTCTTTAGAGTCACATTACATTAATTAATATTCCAATTGTATTAAGATCACGTGTACTCTTTTAAATTTGTGGAAATTCAATATTGGATAACTTGTCCTCTGTTTTGTTTTCTTGTGTAAGAAACCTTTAAACGAAATAAATTGAGTTTGAATTGCTCTTGTGACAAGAGTTTTAGTTCAAGTGGCATTAGCTAAAGATGGGTAAAGAATAAAAATGGGGTAGGGCAGCTGTACCATCCAATTTATAGTTTGGTTTATACCTCAAATTGGTTTTGTAATTGAACTAAACCAATCATTCATTTCAGTGAGTAGTTTGATTCGACCAATTTATTTTTATAAACAATTAAACGAAGGTTTTATATTCTCTTACGTATATCATACAAAACATCATATTGTATATTGAATAATAGTTGAATAAAAGAGTATAATAATTGAAGATTGAGAAATTTTGAAAGAGAAATGATGTCGAATTCAAATGGTTCAAGAGGTCATTTGATATTAAACATGCAGTAATTAACCTATTACATTCATGTTTTCTAAATAAACTACATGATACCAACACCTGCTACCATCGTAATTGTTTCCTTAATAATTATCATCACTGTTTGTCACCACCTTCACTACCACCACCTTACCATGGTCATCACTCTCATTGTCACCACGCTACCACCAACATTGCCACCACCCCAAGAATAGAATCATCAAATTCCTTATTTAAAATTATTTTACTTATAGATTAGTCGAACGAGAAATTTTACATAGATAAACAAATTCATTATGATTAACAAAATTGAAACCATGAGCATAAAAATTGAAACCAAATTGAAATATGTGGAGGAAAAATGTATTTTTTTTTTTTGGTCAAGGAGGAAAAATGTATTTGATCTCTGTAGTTACTAGTAAGTAGGGTAATAATTTATTTTGATTTTGATTGTTAGGAAGGGTCGATACGTAACGTTGGCAAACCTGCGAACCATAGCATTATATATTATTGCCGCCATGACAGTGTCCTTTGACAGGGACATTCGGTTTGACGCTTTCAAAAAACAATCAAAAAACAAAAACCAGAGAAAATCTCCCTCTCACCGGCGGCCCCCTCTCTCTCTCTCTCTCTCTCTCTCTCTCTCTCTCTCTCTCTCCTACCTCTTCGTGTTTGTCTCTTTCCTAGCATTTTCCAAAACCAAAAGGAAACGCTTTTCTCTTGCTTGGCCTTTATATCATTTTATCTCATTCATGAATCAGTCTCTTCTTTGTCCATTTCCCTCCATACCAAGTTACTAACCACTCCCTCTGTTTCTTTTCTCTGCTTCTGTTTCTGCTTTGTTGTCGTTTTGTTGAGTGTAGGACGCTAAGATTGTGGTTTTGTTGGAGACATCGAAAGCAGTTTTTCTTTTCTTCTTTTTGTTGTAGAGCAAAATGGGGTTCGTGATTTCGACCTCTAAGATTGTTTTTGCTCTTGCGTTGGGGTTTCTGGCGTTGAATTGCTTCACTGGGTTTGAATCGAATGCTCAACTTCTGCCTTTGGAAGAAGGTAAGTACAATAATTCATCATCTCGCTTCAAATTTTTTGATTTTGGCTACAAAACGTTTCTGGGTTTTAGGATTTTGTGATGCTTTTGTTGTTCTGGGCACTGGATTGCATTTGGTTTGTTTATACACTTTGTAGTGAAAACTACTCTGTTTGGTTCCTGAGAAAACTCTAGGAAAGCAAAGAAATTTGATTTTTCTTAATGTTCTTGGACTTCATCTGCATCAGTGTCTGCTCTTTTTCTCTTTCTATTGTTTGTAAAGTTCCTGACTTTATTTCTCT